CGTCTTACTTTTATATTTTTTTCCCATTTGGCTTAATGAAACAAGCAGATTTATTTAGAGTGTTCCTTTCCAATTATGTTGCACAAGAGACTTGCAGCACTGCAGAACTGGAATGGCCAGGGCTTGATGTTACAGGCTCCTGGGATTTGTAGTTTGGTGAGGCACCAGCATTTTTGGGCAGAGAAGGCTATAAAGCAGGACTTGGGCCTTCCATGTGTTTTGGACTCCAACTCCCACCATTCCTCACAGCCTCAGGCCCCTTCCTTTTCCCCCTCAGCCGCTTAAGCGGCTGAGGGGGAAAAGGAAAGGGCCTGGGGCTGTGAGGAATGGTGGAAGTTGGAGTCCAAAACACATGGAAGGCCCAAGCCTGCTAATAAAGACCTTCCAAAACTACAGCTCCTAGGATTCCATATCATGAATTTGATAAGAGATTTCCTTGTAGACAAAGTCAACAAAGCCCACTTTTTGTTAAGCGGCGGCCTCCCATCCAAGACCTCACCCGGGCCGACCCTGCTTAGCTTCCCGAATGAGGCGGGGCCGCTCTCCGCATTCCACCCCTTTGTGGTAAACGGGGCTTTTGGAGGGTTATTCCAGCCATAACCTGAGGGGGGAATTCTCTCGCGTTTGTTTCTCTTCAGAGGGGCTTCTGAAGAGAAACAAAGCGAGCCTAGGCGCTGTCGCCTTGGCTTTAATTAACTAATTAAGGAAATAACGGGGTGTTTTCTTTTCCAAAGAGGTCCCCCCCCCTCTCTCTCTCTCACACACACACACACACACACAGCCCGCCCTCCTGGCACCCTCTTGGCCTCTTCTCAGGAGTTTTCTCCTCAGGACAAGAGGGGAAGGGATCAAAAGAGAGAGAAAGAGGGAATAGGTGAGAGAAGGAAGGAAGAGAAGAAAAAGAGAGGAGAGGGAGGGGAGAACTAGAAGGAGGGAAAAGAGGAGAGAGAAAGAAGGAAGGAATAGAAAGATAGACAAGAGGGATAGGTAAGGGAATAAAGATGGAGGGAGAATAAGAGAGAGAGAGAGAGGAGGGGAGAGAAAGAAAAAGAAGGAACAGAAGAGAGGAGAGAAAGAAGGAATAGAAGAACTCGGCTAGTTGTAGACATACAAGAAATGATTATCTAAAGTATTAATAGGTGGTAAATATAGAGCGTAGTTGAGAGTCACTGTAAGATGTCGTAAGAAAGACTTATATACTTAGCTATGCATATGAATGGTATAACTTATAATGTTTTACCTATCTAGATAGACAACTCATTGCCTGTACTCGACTTTGTACACACTACAGTAGATCTATTTACGGTCCTACCTATTTCTTGCTATAAATACACCATCAAGGAACAAGGCTCTCCCCTTCTAATCTCAAGGATCACTAGTATAGAGATTTCTCCTACTAGAGCGCTCCACTAGGAACAGTGGATCATGCTAGTTAGAGCCAGGACAATGGAATACAAGCAGTCTTGTTACCACAAGCCGCATTCTCTCACGCAGGATCTCATGGAGAGAGGATAGGGAGGGAGAACTAGAATGTGGGAATAGACATGAGAGAGCAGGAAGGATATAGAACGATTGAGTGGATCAGAAGAGAGAGGGAGAAAGGAGGACTATGGCACGAAGGCATAGAGATAGTGAGAGACGGCACGGTAATACACATCAGGGATTTGAACATGTGGATTAGATAGAATACGTCATCGCAAGTGGAGACCTTCTAGGCCTATCAGCGCTCTTGCATACGATCCATAGACAATAGACTGACTTAATATGTACGATAAGCTTATTTGTCGACTGTTCTTCTTGCCTTCTAAGCCCGAGTGAGGAGATAAACGACGCACCTAAACTAGTTCTAGGTTGATAGTCGAGGTATATATATACCTACTGGATTTGTAGAGCAACATGCAGTACACGTCACCGAAGATTAGGGACTGATATGTACGTGACTCTAATACGTTTATCTCTCCATGCTCCAGATGTACTGAATCTGAGCTAGCAGCGGACTAGTTACTGTTCTACCTCGTAATTCTCGTAGTGGTACACAGATGCGCGTAACTAATAGAAGAGATATTTGAGATTGGTGTAGAGCAATAGAAGATGTCTGGCAAATACGAGAGAGAGGATGGAGAGAAACAATGAAGAACGAGGACTAGTAGAAATAAGGAATATAAGAGGCAGGGCGCCGAAGCGAAAGAACTGGAACAGTAGTTGCAAACTATTGCCTTATTTCTTCAATATCAATATTGAACGGTTAACTGGGGTTTGTGGGAAAGAATTATAAAAGGGAGAGAGGAGAGGAAATAGAAGAGGGAGAAGAGGAGAGAAAGAAGGAATAGAAGAGAGAGGGGGAAGAGAAGGAAGGAAGGGGGATGGAAAAGAAGAGAGAGAGGAAAAAAGGTAGGAAAAGGTAGGAATAGACAAGGGGTGGGAGAGAGGCGAGGGAATAGAAGAGGGAGGGAGGGAAAAGAAGAGAGGGAGGGGAGAGAAAAAGAAGGAAGGCACAAAAGAGAGGGGGAGGAGATGGGGGAATATAAGAGGGGAAATACATAAGAGAAAGAAGTAATGGAGAGAGAGAGATGCCAGCGAATAGAAAAAGGAAACGAGAGGGGAGAGGGAGTTGAGAAAAACAAAGAAGGAACAAAAGAGGGAGGGAGAGTAGAGTAGAGTAAAGGGAGGAACAGAAGAGGGGGGACTAGAAGAGAGAAAGAAGGACTAGAAGAGAAAGACAGAGAGAGGGGTGAGAGATGGGGAGAGGAATAGAAGAGGGAGGGAAAGTAAGAAGAAAAAGAAGAAATAGAAGAGAAGGAGAGGGAGGGAATAGAAGAGGGGGCTAGAAGAGGGGGAATAGATGAGAGAAGGAACAGAGAGGGAGTATAAGAGAGGGAGGGAAAAGGAGAGAAAGAAGGAACAGAAGAGAGCAGGAGAGGGAGGGAAAAGAAGAAAGGAGAGGGAGTTGAGAGAAAGAACGAATGAACAGAAGAGGGAGAATAGAGGGGGGATAGAAGAGAGGGGGGGAGGAGAGGGAATAGAAGAGGGAGGGAGGGAAAGAAAAGAGGCAGGAGAAAAAGAAGAAACAGAAGAGAGGGAAGGAGATGGAGAGAATAGCAGAGGCGGCTAGAAAAGAGAGGGAATAGAAGAGAGAAATAAGTAGTGAGAGAGGCGAGGAAATAAAAGAGAGAAGTAGGGAGAGAAAAGAAGAGAGAGAAGGGGAGAGAAAGAAGGAACAGAAGAGTAGATGGAGGAAAAGAAGGGGGAAATGGATGAGAAAAAGAAGGAATAGAAGAGAAAGACACACAGAGAGAGGCCAGAGGGAATAGAAGAGGGAGGAAAGGGGGGAGAAGAGAGGAAGAAGTAGAAGAGAGAGAGGGAGGGAAAGAAGGAACAGAAGAGAGGGGGAGAGAGAGGAGAGGGAGGGAAATAGGAGAGAGGAGAGGGAGTGGGGAGAAGGAATAGGGGAGAGAAGAAAGAAGGGGGGAGGAAAGAAAGAAGGAATAGAAGAGGGAGGGAGAGAGAAGAGGGAAAAAGAGGGAGGGAAAAGAGAGAGAGGAGAGGGAGTGAAGAGAAAGAAGGAGCAGAAGAGAGGGGGAAGAGAGAGGAGGGAGTGGAGAGAAGGAATAGAAGAGAGAGGGGAGAGAAGAAGAGGGGGAGGAAAAGAAGGAATAGAGAGGGAGAGGAGAGGGAAAGAAGAGAAGGAAGAGGGAGGGGAAAAGAGAGAAGGAGAGGGAGTGAAGAGAAGGAAGGAAACAGAGAGAGGGGAGAGAGAGGAGAGGGAGTGGAGAGAAAGAAGGAACAGAAGAGAGGGTGAGAGAGAGGAGAGGGAGGGAAGAGAAAAAGGGAGGGAAGAGACAGAATAGAGGGAAGGGGGAAGAGAAGGGAGAAGGGGAGGAGGGAAGGAATAGGGAGGGAGGGAGGGCTCCCTCCTCCTTCTCCTCCTCCTGCGCCGCATCAGCCCTGAGGGGATCCCTCCTCCCTCTTCCCTCTCCGCCAGCCACCATCTATCTATCTCCACAGGCGCCCTTCGGAGAAGCAGCAGCAGCAGCAGCAGGAGCAGCCCCGCCGCCGCCGCCGCCGCCGCGCCTCCTTCTCCCTCTGCTGGGTCCTCCTCCTTCTGCCCGCATCTCTTTCCAGCCCCGCGGGACGTGGGGCAGAAGGGGGTCCCGGCTCCGGAGCCGCCCTTGGAGCGAGAGGAAGGGAAAGAGAGCCCGGCTGAGAAGGAGCCACCCGCCTCGGAGCCCAGAAGAGCCCATCCGAGAGAGAGAGAGAACCCGGGGGGAATCGCCACCGCGCCGTCCCGCGCCGCCTTCTTCCTCCTTCAGTGCGGAGGAGGAGGAGAAGGAAGAAAGAGAAGGGGAAGAAAAAGGAAAGAAAGGAGTGGGGAAGAAAAGAATAAAGGGGAAAGGAGAGGAAAGAAGGGAGAGGAGTAGGAAAGGAAAGGGGGAAGAATAAGGAAGGAGGGGGAAGAAAAGAATAAGGGAGGAAAAGAAAGAAAGCAGAGGGAAAGAAGAGAGCAGGAACAGCTGTGGTTCTGACAAGCCAGCAACGCAATCGGGGTTTGCTCGAAAAGAGGGGAAGGAAGGAAGAATTGGGGAGGAAAGAAGGGAAGAAAAGGAGGGGAGGGAGAAGAAGGCAAGGAAGGAGAGCGGGTATAGGTTGGAATATGACAAACCATCAACTCGATCCTGTTTGCTAAAAGAAGGAGGGAAGGAAGAAGGAGAGGGAAAGAAAGGGTACAAGTTCAATCCTGACAACCCGACTGTTTGTTGAAAGGAGGGAAGGGAGAAGGAAAGGAAGGAGAAGCAGCAAGGGGAGAGAGAAAAGGAAGGAGGGAAGGACAGAGAGAGAAGAGAAAGGAGAGAAGGATAGGAGAAAGGGAGGATAAGGAAGGAGAGAAGAGAAGCAAAGGAGAAAGGAAGATAGGGAAGGCGAGAGGAAGGCGCCGCATCTGCTCCAGGGTTACAGCCGAGGCGGGGGCGCTGCACTTGGCGCCCCGAGAGGCAGAGGGCTGAGGCGCGGCAGGCACTGGACCGGGCTGCCCGGAGGCCAAGGTGTGGGCCCCGCGGCGGGCTCCGTCGGCTCCCCCTCCCCTGCCGCCTTCCCTGCGCCCGCTGCGACTCCGCTCCCCGTCCTTCTCCCTCCCGGGCGCCCGGAGGGTGGCCCCTTGCGCCCTGCCGCCGGCCCCATGGCGAGGAGGAGGAGGAGGAGGAGGGAAGCACCGCTTGAGCCTCCGCGGAGGAGGAGGAGGAGGCGGCGGAAACGGGGGGAGCAGCTCCGCCACCCCGCTCAGCCTCGGCATCCGCTCCCCTGACTTCCCGCGCTGCCGCTGCCACTGCTGCAAGGGCTGCAGCGGGAGTGAGGCAGCGGCGGCGGCGGCGGGGGGAAGCGGGCGCGCGGCGGCGGGCCAGCCCGGGCTGAGGACGGTGCTGCTGGGCCGCTTCCTGGTGCTCCTGCCCTGGGTCTTGCTGGTCATCCTGATGCTGGAGGCGGACGGTAGCCGCGGGCCCCGCGCCCCGAAGCAGCAGCAGCAGCAGCACCCGCCGGCCTCCTCCTCCTCCCTCCGGCAGGGGGCGCCGCTGCCCATCATCTACGTCATCACGCCGACCTACAGCCGGCCGGTGCAGAAAGCGGAGCTGACGCGTCTGGGCAACACCCTCCGGCAGGTGGCGCGCGTGCACTGGGTGCTGGTGGAGGACGCGGCCGGGGTCAGCGAGCTGGTCACGCGCTTCGCGGCCGGGCTGCACGCGGCCGGGGGACCCCCCGTCACCCACCTCCACGCGCCCACCCCGCGCAGGTACAAGCGCCCCGGGCAGCCGCGCGCCACCGAGCAGCGCAACGCCGGCCTGGCCTGGGTCCGCCAGCGCCACCAGCGACAGCAGCGCCCCGGGCAGCAGCAGCAGCAGGAGCAGCAGCAGGGCCCTCCCCCGACCCCGGGGGTCCTCTTCTTCGCCGACGACGACAACACCTACAGCCTCGAGCTCTTCCACGAGGTGAGCATCCCTCCGCGGACAGAGAGAGCAGTATACGTATTAATTAATTAATTAATTAATCTATAGAAATAAAAACATGTAATGTTCGTTTGTGTGATTAACATATCTCAAAAACCACTGGACGAATTGACATCAAATTTGGACACAAGATACCTATGAGGTCAACGAGGGACCATCACTCATAAAACACTGAAAACACAACAGAAAGGACCTAAAAGGTCAAAAAACAAACATTACATTGCAACATATGCGCAAAATCACACATATATATGCAAACACACATATATACACAAAGGTGAAGGTTTTCCCCTGACATTAAGTCCAGTTACACATACACAATATAACACACACACACACATATACAATCTCCATATATTTAAATATATTATACTATATTACTCCTTCAACCCCCCCCCCCCTCCGATGAAATGGACAATCCTTCTCAGTCAAGCACTCCCATTTGGCCTCCCCCCAGCTAATGGAACAGTACTTTAATGGATATAAATACTATTATAGAGGGAGATCATAGAATCATAGAGTTGGAAGAGGCCTCGTGGGCCATCCAGTCCAACCCCCTGCCAAGAAGCAGGAATATTGCATTCAAAGCACCCCTGACAGATGGCCATCCAGCCTCCGTTTAAAAGCTTCCAAAGAAGGAGCCTCCACCACACTCCAGGGCAGAGAGTTCCACTGCTGAACAGCTCTCACAGTCAGGAAGTTCTTCCTCATGTTCAGGTGGAATCTCCATTCCTGTAGTTTGAAGCCATTGTTCCACGTCCTAGTCTCCAGGAAAGCAGAAAACAAGTTCACTCCCTCCTCCCTATGACTTCCTCTCACATATTTATATCATTATACATATTAATATTATATATATATATATACACACACACTGTAACATAACATATCTATAACTATAATATATATTCTGGTAGATGTTATGTTGTATATAGATAGATGTTGTTATATATATACATATATATAACATAACATCTATCTATAATAATATGTATTAATATTATACACACACACACACATGTAATATAACATCTATCTATCTATAATATTACTATCCTTCTCAGTCTAGCATCCCTTTTGGCCTCCACATGGATAATGGAACAGTACCTTAATTGATATAATATTCCACAATATTTATAAATATATGCACACATACATATACAGGTAGTCCCCAAATTACAAACTTCCAGCTTACAAAGGACTCACAGTGAAGAACGGGATGAGACAACAGGAAGTGAGAGAAGTCTACTGCTAGGATGGGAAATTCACTCTAAAAAAGTTTAAAACCTCCAAGGTTTGAACTTCTACACGCTCCAAGGAGCCAAGTTCCACTATTGAACAGCTCTTACAGTCAGGAAGTTGGGTTGCTGTTTGTTTTTAGGTCTGTATTTTCATGTTCCGGAAGCATTCTCTCCTAATGTTTTGCCCACATCTATGGCAGGTATCAGAGGTTTTGTGAGGCAAGTGAGGTTTATATATCTGTGGGATGTCAAGGGTGGGAGGAAGAACTCTTGTTTGTTTGAGGCAGAAAGTTCTTCCTAATGTTAAGTTGGAATTTCCTTTCCTGTAATTTGAATTCATTGTTCCGCGTCCTAGTCTCCAGGGCAGCAGAAAACAAGCTTGCGCCCTCCTCCCTATGACGTCCTCTCACATACTTATACGCATGTCTTCTCTCAGCCTTCTCTTCTGCAGGCTAAACATACCCAGATCTTTAAGACATTCCTCACAGGACCTTTGATCCCTTTAGTCACCCTCCTCTGGACCAGTTCAAGAGTCACATTGCATTATTTCTATGGTTTAGATCAGGCCTGGGCAAACTTGGGCCCTCCGGGTGTTTTGGACTCCAACTGTCACCATTCCTAACAGCCTATCGGTTGTTAGGAATGGTGACAGTTGGAGTCCAAAACACCCGAAGGGCCCAAGTTTGCCCAGGCCTGGTTTAGATGCATGTTTCTTCCCTTTTTACATGGGTCTCTTCCTAGGTAACCAATCAATATGTTTGTTGTGGTAGCCAAAGGCCACGACAAAGGAATGTGACAGAAACAGAACATTCAAAATAAAAATACAGAAAACATTAACCAAAGTTTTTACTAAGCTCATTGAGAGAGAACAAAAACATTTCAAGTAAACATGAAAATCAAATCAAGACATTGAATCTCCACGGCAGCTTTATCTAGCTCTGTCAATCTGATAATCATGTGTCTTCCTCCTTCAGAGAAGCTTGTACTCCCCTAGAAGACCACACTTCCCCTTTAAAATTGTCCAGCCAAATTGGACTCCTCTGTCATTGAGCTTTTTCAAGCATTATCATACCAGGGATGCACTAATTGATCAAGCACTTAGGAAAATTAAGGCGGCTATTGCTTCAAATGGTTAAAATGGGCTCAACAAAGGCTGTCTTGATAAAGGCTGCCTGCAATCTGTCCTAGGCTTGGTGCTGTTAATTGTATTTTGTCAGAGACTTCCTATTGACGGATGAGGACAGATGTGAACAGTAATGTCTCACCCTGTAATAACCTGCAGGTAGGCAAAATTGGGCCCCCTAGTGGTGCAGCAGGTTAAACTGCTGAGCTGCTGAACTTGCTGACTGAAAGGCCAGTGGTTCGAGTCCAGGGAGCAGGGTGAGCTTCTGCTGTTAGCTCCAGCTTCTGCCAAACTAGCAGTTTGAAAACATGAAAATGTGAGTAGATCAATAGATACCACTTCGGTGGAAGGTAACAAAGCTCCATGCAGTCCTTATGGCCACATGACCTTGGAGGCATCTGCGGACAACGCTGGCTCTTTGGCTTAGAAATGGAGATGAGCACCCCCCTCCCCCAGTCGGACATGACTAGACTTAATGTCAAAGGGAAACCTTTAGCGTTATCTTAGGCAAAATTAGTAACTGGCCTTCCAGTGTTGCGCTCTCCAAACCCAACGTTAAAAACAGTTTAGTAGTCCCTGCTTGTATTGTCAGAAATTGGATAACTTACTTTTTTGGCTGCTTTCTTCCAGAATCCCTTAGTCAGCATAGCATTGTCATATCGAAATTTCCTCCTTTATCTTTAAGCATTGTGTAGAAGAGAGAATTTCAGCACATGTTGGGTTGCTGTGAGTTTTCTGGGCTGTATGGCCATGTTCCAGAAGCATTCTCTTCTGACGTTTCACCTGCATCTATGGCAGGCATCAAGGATGTCTGCCATAGATGCAGGTGAAACATTAGGAGAGAATGCTTCTGGAACATGGCCATACAGCCCAGAAAATTCACAGCAACCCAGTGTTTCCGACCTTTAAAACGATCGGCAACACGTTCACCATATGTTATTGAATATTTATTTACAGCTTTCCTTTCCAATTTCTATGTTAAAGAGGGTGGTTACAGGGGGTGCCTCTACACTGTACAATTAAGGCAGATTGACACCACTTAACTGCCATGGCTCAATGCTTCGGAACTTTGGGAGCTGTAGTTTGATGAGGCACCAGCACTCTTTGGCAGAAAGGTCTAAAGACTTTGTAAAACTATGACTCCCATGATTCCATATCATTAAGCCATGTCAGTTAAAGTAGTGTCCAATCACATTAGTTCTATAATGTGGAGATGCATGGTTTTGATATACTCTCTTGTACACAACTCTTAAAAGTACAGGAGTCCTCTTCAGTTTTTAGTTTTGCAGCTTATATGGCTTTTGTAGAACTATGGTAGTTTTGATCCAGTATTGCTTTCATTGCCCCTTTCCTCCTTCTGCCTTTCTTTCTTTTCTTTTTTTTCTTTTTTTAATTTTTGTTGGTGTCAGGAGTGATTTGCAAACTGCAAGTCGCTTCTGGTGTGAGATAATTGGTTGTCTGCAAGGGTGTTGCCCAAGGGACGCCTGGATATATTATCATCCTGTGGGAGGCTTCTCATGTCACTTCATGGGAAGCTGAAGCTGACAGATGGGATCTCACCCCACTCCCCAGATTCGAACCACCGACCTTTCAGTCAGCAGTCCGGCCAGCACAAGGGTTTAACCTATTGCACCACCAGGGGCTCCTTCTGCCCAAATGATGCATTTTCTCCTCAGGGAGTCTTCTTGCATGCTGTGCATCCATCCTGCCAGCTCCCTTCCACTTGAGTCAACTGTGCTGGCTCAGCAATCCCTGGATCCCCTGTGGCAGCTTGAATTCCCGTGCCTGCCAAAACCAGCTCGGGACAGCCAAATATAGACACACAAATGCAGGTGCTTCTAGATCCTTCCCACTTTCTCCTTGTTATCCTGCAACAGACTTAACATAGATAACTATAGACCTGCTGAAATGCTACAAGAGCACTCTCCACTGTCTTAAGATGCTTTGGAAAGTTTTCTCACATATATGTTCAAGATATCAAATATGTCTTTAGGTACTAATACAGTTTAATTTGAGCTGGAATTTTTGGACAAGTTGTATATCTTTTTTTTCTATGCCGCAATATTGGGACTAAAAAGAAAATGTCAAATTGTAAACAAATGTTGATCACTTTTGACCATATGTCCTTTTCCTCTCCAGTGACAGTCTTGACCATTCATTAGTTCAGGATTAGGAGAAAAGATCTCCAGGCCAGAAGGTTTTGACATCCAGGTACACGGAAGTCAAAACTCCTGTTAGGTACCATCTACCATGCATATAAATTTCCTTTGGCCAATCCAAACCCCCAGTGGCGCAGTGAGTTAAACTGCTGAGCTGCTGAACTTGCTGACTGAAAGGTTGGCAATTTGAATCCGGGGAGCGGGGTGAGCTCCCGCTGTCAGCCCCAGCCCCTGTCAGCTTAGCTGTTTGAAAACGTGCAAATGTGAGTAGATCAATAGGTACTGCTCCAGCGGGAAGGTAGCGGCACTCCATGAAGTCATGCTGGCCACATGGCCTTGGAGATGTCTACGGACAACCCCGGCTCTTTGGCTTAGAAATGGAGATGAGCACCACCCCTAGAGTTGGATTTGATTAGACTTAATCTAAAGTACCCTCTGCCCATTGCTGCCCCAAGACTGCCA